AGATCTTTCTGTCCACCCCACAAGAAAAAAAAAGTCTGGAGGTTTTGGTTGGGTCTGTTGATCGTGATAGTCATTCAATTGCTCCAAGTTGTCCTATCCACACCTCATCTCAGAAAAAAGGGAATTACTTTATTTCCCTATATATACGACAGAAAATTAAAACACACAATTAGATAATATAATCCAACTTTTTCCTGTACATCTATAGGTACACTGTGACCCGCAGGGACATGGCGCTATTGTTCGAAACATAGTCAATTCTATAATTATTCATACAAAGCAACACTACAGTTCAAACGTCAAATGTTTTTTTCAAAAGTCTTGTTAGATTTATGCATTATTTTATGAAAGTGTTTAATTTAACTTTCATTTCATGGCCGAAGCTGCTGTTAACAAACTGTGTATATATTGTAGAGACACTGTGTTTATGATTTGATTTATATGAACGGTTAAATATATACCTTCCCGCATGAACTCTCCAGCTTAACTTTTTTGTGCATCGACTTGCAATTTCTTTTCCCTCCATTTTTTTTCTTTTTTGGGGGGGGGTTTGAAGTGGTGATGGTGAGAATAGCCTTTAAATAAAATAACAGAAGTAAATCTTAATTACTACTTACTTATTGGTTTCGTGATTAATCGAATCTAGAGTCTAACTGACTCGAGGGAGATTTTTTGATGATATTTATGACTAGGAACTTACGGGGACAGTAATATCATATTGGGAATATCAGGTGGGGGCGGGGGGTGTCAGGTTCCAGAGTATTAAGTGTGCATACCGTAGCGCGATCGTTTGCAGTCTTCTCTCGTGGTCAAGCTCAACAGTGTTGTGAGTTCGATTCCCGTCACACCATTGCCATGACCATCTGGCAAACTAAGGCGACGACAAAGTTTCACTCGGATAACTTCTTCTCCGGAATTGTTGCCTTCTGAGACGGACTCTGGAGAGAATTCTTCCTTGGTCACTACAATCACTATACTTCTTCAATAGTCAACTGTTATCTATCCTATCTATCTTTATAATAGGAACCCATTGTTCCCTCGCTGTACGCCCTTACAAAAGCCTAATTTCGTATTTTATTGGGTTTATATTTTTTATTTTATTTAAGCCTCTTGAATTCTTGGGGAACATAGGGCTGTAACAACACCTTCTCTAATGGATGCGGTTCTGGGAGATCCTCTTCAGCTCGGTCCATTTCGCCTCTGTGTTTTGGTCAAAACCACTTTTCGCTTCCCTTGTGGATTTCAGTCAAGGGCTTGCGGAATGTGTAGCTGATCCATCCCCATTTCCGTTTCTTGATATCAGTCTCGATTGGGTTCTTGTTTCGTCTTGTTCCACAGTTGGTCGTTGGAGACGACTTCCGGTCACCTGATATTGACGATGTTCCTGAGACATCGGTTTGTAAATGTCTGAAATTTGTGGGTGTTGGTCTTGGTTACCCCTCCAGGTTTCTGAACCGTAAAGTAAGACCAACTTGACGTTGGTGCTAAAGATCCGGATCTTGTTGTAAAGTGAGAGGGCTGTTGATCTCCAGATTGGCCGCAGAGTATTGAAAGCGTATCGGGCTTTGATGATTCGGCATTTGATATCCTCAACTGTCCGCCCCCTATCTTTATTGATGACGCTTCCCAGGTAGACAAACTTATCGACTTCCTTGATGTCTTCTTGAAATAGTCGCACTACGTCTTGTTGCTAACCCTCAATCTGTTGGGTGACCAATAGTAAAAAAAAAAACCCAACAAAACACCAGAAAAACTTTGGCAGTAGCAAGAAAATCCAATCTAAATAAAATGGTATATAATGGAAAATATCTACATTGTAAGTCGAAAAACGAGAACTATGGAAAACATCTGAACTAGAAATGATTATGATGTCTGTACAAATACTTACTTTCAGTTTTGATTTAAGTAAAGAATCATCATCATCATTATCATGATCAAGTGGAGAATTCTTCTCGGATTCTCTTGACTCATTCCCTTCTCTGTCAGACATGGCTGTCAGCAGGTCATCCAGATGGCATCCAGAGTCATCTCCAAGTTGGCCAATGTAGGTGTGATGAGGTCTTCCATCTTTGCCGCACATAGGGTTCCATAGGAGATTGTCACTTACAAGTTCTGACTTAACTTCTCCAGGAGAGACCAGCTAGCCGAAGCCTTCTCTCTCTCTTAGCGAAACTGAGATAGGAAGAAGATGTCTATACAAGCATTTCTTTGTTGGGTGTTTCTTTCAGCTGATGTCTAATGCAACATCCTTGTGTATGTTCCAAGAAAGTAAAGAATACTAGCAAAAATTGTACGTACTATTTGATTTGAAATTACCATCACCACTTTTTATGTATCTATCTTGCTATAAATTTCTACTTAATTGAGTCATTGGTATTATTATTATTATTGTTTTTCAAAAAAGAAAAAAAATAGATGAAAGCATTTTCGTTATTATCACTATTTTTTTTTTTTTTTTACTATTTTTCATATTCTTTATGGCTTTTTATCACAACATACTGAGTCGATACGCTCTTGAGCCAAATGAAGTAAATCGTGCAGAAAATGCTTCCAATAACGCTTGCTCGCATCCAAGAGTTCGATAACCTGGATTTCATAGACGTCGCCTCAGCCACTTTCACTTCGGAAGTTTGACGTAAATTTGCCATCCGATTTCCGATTAGTTGTATCATTTGTTTTAAAAAAAATTACTATTTAGTTATAATGCAAATACTTCTCACTTAACGACTCGCCTGTTTAATGACCCTTTGAATTTAAGATTAGCGATATAATGTCAAAAAACAAAAATCCAAGAAGTCGGTATTGTGCGTTGAACGTAAACTTTGATCATGGTTGGTTTTTCTTTCTTCGATATAAATCAAAATTTACTTGTACTGTATTTACAACATGTCAACGGAAGATTGTTTATCTGCTTTTAACGGCTTTTGCCGGTGTCATATTTGTTATTGGTTATTGTTTCAAGGCTATTTTAAAGCAGAAATACTTTTCGGAGTGTAAGAGGTGGCTTACAGAACTCTGTGTACCCAAGCGGGATTCGAATTTGCTTTTTACTTTTACTGTTTCGTACACATAATAAACATTTGGAAATAAATTAGAAACAGAGGAGAAGGGGTAGTCATCAGCCCCTGTGGAATGAAGTGAAAATACTGGACAAGGAATAACACTGGAAGAGTTAGACGTTTGAAAGAATCAGCGCATGTGCTAACCTATGATGACCTCCTCAGTAGGCCTAGTATAGAAATGAATATAAAATGGGAGACACTAATAAAGAAAAAAAGAAAGACAAATGACATCAAGTCTCCAAACGTAGCAGCAAGCAAAATATGAGCAAAAACAGCAGTGAAAACATGACACACAGCAGCAACAGCTGTTGCAAACTAATCAGCAGCTATGTTAGATTTAAGGTTCTAAGTTAACTACTGCAAATTGTCCTATGAGATAAAAGCGTTGCTTTGTGAATTTGATGATATAGTTGTTGTGAGTTCAATCCCCGGGTCGGGCAGTATGTACTGTAAACGGGCGAGAAATAACTGGATAGTACCCAATAAGAAAATAAGAATGAGACGATATTCCTAGACATGACAGTGGAACGAGAACAGTCTACTCCCAAAGATTAAATGGTTCAGCTCAGAATTCCCTGTATGTTACCCAGTTCGAGGAAGGCCTGTATATTACTCAGATGAGGAAGACCGGAGGCAAAATGGCTGAAACGTTGTGATAACAACGAAGATGAGGACAATAATCCGAATATAAATAGTGTAAATAAATTGGAAATGTTACAAATAGAGCAAAAGTGACATTGAAGCTATTTGAAGCTGCTTGACATAAACCTATTACACGAGTAGAATGCCTGAAATAGCAGTCAAGTAAAACTTCTCACTTCACGATCAACTCTTTTAGCAACCAGGTCGTTAGAATGAAACCCGGTCGTTAAGTGAGTAGTAGCTGTAGTTTGAAGTTAAATTTAGGAAATTACTTTATTTCCGATTTTCAAACGATTTAAATTATTAGTCAAAGAGTGTATCTTTTTTTAAAAAATCTGTATCAGCCCGAGCAAGGCAGTACAGACACTAGCACGCAAGGGGTTACAGGGTGTGGAGGAATTAGGAATAGAAACATTATTATTGAGGAGAAAGAGAAAAGAGCAACCAGGGGGACAGTAGATAGCGATTGACATTGCAGATTTTTGCAGATTAAAGTTGGTTGGAAAGCATGGAGCCGGGAGGGAGTTCCACAAGCAAGAAGTGCGAGATAAGAAACTGTTAGCATAGAAGTCATGGCTACATCTAGCCAGCCCAACTGTAAATTAATGAGATCTCACCGTCAGTCTAGTATTATGCTTAAATTCATACTAAGTACCATGGCGAAGAGCTCATTCGAACAATTACCATGAAAGTATTTACAAAAAAGGTACAAAGCCGACCCAATGTTGTGATAAAAAGCAATAATAAGATGGAATTGAGAAAAATTAATAATAATAATTTCTGATGTGATATTTTTTATTGGTTATCAATCAGGAGTACTCTTCATTGCTTGCTGGAGAGTAATCTAGACGCATGAGATAATCAATGGATCGATTTGAAGACGAGAATTTAAAAATATCAACCGATTATCCAATTCAGTCATGCCTTCTTTACTGAGCGTATCAATCACATCATTTCGATTAGCAATCATTGATTTTTCTCGAAGATAAATCTAATGATTGCTTATCGGTGAACGGTCATGGATCAGATGTAAAGATTAATACCTTCGGACGAAGACCGGTAATTTACTGAAAACGAGAAACGAAAATGACTCCAGAGAAATTTGTTAGCTTTTCATGGCTTCTGATCTTGTGAACAAAACAGAAAAAAATCTCCTCAGGACGGCTAGAAGAAGAAAAACATTTGAAAAAAAATGTCGACTTTGTAGTAAAAATTAACGACATCAAGTCTTGATTTGAACCTTTTTCGTTCTCATACAATCTCTAACAAATCGAGATTGCCATTTTTTCTGTCAAGGCACACAGCGACTTTTTCAGCTCGCATTTTCTGGCATTGTGTCTGCCTGCCTTTTTATTATTTCTTTTCTTTTTTTATTTCACTTTCTTTTTATTTCTCTTTTTCTTTCTATTTCTTTTACACCCTTTCTATCTTTTTTTCTTTTCTTTTTTTTTGTTCTCTTTGTTCTTTTTTGCACATTCTTTCTTTCTTTTCCCTCTATACACTTTTTCTTTATTCTCTTTTTTATTTCCTTTTTTCTTTCTTGTTTTCTTTCTTGTCTTTCTCTTTTTTTTCTTATCCTTTTCATTTTTTCTCTGTTCTATTTTTTTCTTCTTTTTTCTCTTCCCTTATTTGCTCTTTTTCTGTATTCTTTCCTTTTTTTCTTTTTTATTTTCTCTTTCTTTTTTTGTCTATTCTCACACCTTCTTCCTCTTTACTTTTTTTTTCTAAATTGTTTCTTCTTTTGTGTCTATTCTCTTTTCCTTTTCTTCCTTTTCATTCTTTTTTTCCTGTTTCATCTCTTTCTTTTTCTCTTTTTTCTCTATTCTTTTCCTTTTTCTTCTTATTTACACGTATTCTTTATTATTTTTCCTATTTTTTCTTTTTTACACCTTTTCTTATTCTCTTTTCTCCCCCCCGCTTATTCTTTTCTTCTGTTCCTTTTTTGAATCTCTCCTCCTTTTCCAAGTTTGTCTACTCATAAATGTGGTCACAGATTCCTGTGTTTTATTGACTCGTATGTTTTACATGAATAATATTTTTCCTTAGATGGACCTCGTGTGTGATAAGCAGTTTGCCTCTACCCACGCGCAGATGAGTGTGATGGGGGGCTTCTTGGCGGGAGCCTTCATCCTAGGGACTTTGTCTGACATGTAAGTCGTTCTACACACCCAAACAAGGGTGGAATGCAGGTACTATTACAGCCAAATTAACCAAGTGCTGTATCTACCCCCTTACATAACCCTTTGCCATACATTAGAAATTGTTGCATAATTTTCATTACAGAAGAAATCATCAACAGTTTTCTTTTCATTTTTATTATTAATCTTGTTCTGTAATATTAAAATTGTTTTATATAATGTCTGTGTTCTTATTGATAAGGAATAGATTTGGTAAAATTTCTGAAGTTTTAAATTCCATTAATTTTAAATTCCAGAAATTTTAAATTTCTCTAAGCTTGTCTTATGTTGGTAGTCAAAAAAGAAAAAAAAGAAAGAAAAAGATTTTCTTTAGAAAACGGATTATCTTTTTATGTTTTCCTAAAATCTATTTTACATCTTTAATAAAAGACGTTTTTCTTTTAAAACAGAAACTATATTCCTTCCTCAAAGAATAAAGGACACAGAAAAATTATTTATCTACTTCTTGAAGAATTCTTATGCGACACAAAAAAGGAGATTGAATATTTTGCCAATTGTAAATAATTTCCAGTAAAGATTTCTTTATGATCGATAACTTATTTGAAAATATCTTTTGACTGAATTAAATTAATTTCAAAAGTACTAGAGTATTTAATTTCTTTAACTGAAACTGAAATCATTTAAAATTTGCTAAACATCTCTGATGTAAAATACAAACGATAAATCTAATTTAAAAATATTTAGGAAAAATATTTATCCTCAAAAAGCTAAACCTACCTTTTCTACCTTCATATATTGATAATGAACTTAATTTGTTCTGATCTCAGCATAAGTTCTTTGATGTATGTTCCACTTAAAATTTCAAATAATTTTATGTAAATGCCATTTACACTGGAGATTTTAAGTACAAAGGTCATCGCTAAAAGTTTAAAATAATTGATTTGTTTGTCTAAAGTTCATGCCGAATTAAATATTTGACATAATTAATACATTGATTATTTTTCTACAGTTGTATCAAAGAAGATAATAATTTATGAATGGAATTGTGGATATATAAGCGTCTATGAATGGAATTGTGGGTATATAAGCGTCTATGAATGAAATTGTGGATATATCGACGTTGATGAATGAAATTGTGGATATATTGGCGTCGTTGAATGAAATCGAGATTATATTGACTGGTCTGAGGATTATTTTACACTCTCATTTAAAAAAAGATCAAGAACTATGAACAGAGAAATGTAGGAGTCTAGTAATAATTTCTTTTCTTATAAGTAAATCACTCCTTCTGGGTTTCATCAACTTTATGCCGCACTAAAAGCAGTTATCAAGCTATGCACATAAATTGTCTATTGCTGTGACCAGTCGGAAATCATTTTACTTTGTAACTGATTCGTCATCATAACGATATATAAAGGTGAGTTTATGGCTAGTCTGCCTTATTAAGACCAGAATTAGAGAAAGCAGTCCTCCTCATTTTAGATTGGAGAAGGCGCCCGGACACTTGCATTAAGATATTGCATTAACATCGACGCCAGCGTTACAATGGTCACGGGGTCTGGGCCATTTTTTATCCTTTGCCCATATGCATACGTATGTTTATGGGTTCCCCACATAAAAATATCGACCTTGTGAAAAGTTATATATTAAGATCCATTTCTATGCTTGAGTATCGGTGTCTTATGTTCGTTGTCAAAAGAACATTGACGACCTCTGGTACTAGGCAATAAGTTTAAATCTTGGGTACAGGATATAAAGTATCATTGAGCCAAATTTCATTACTTTACCTTAATAAATACAAAAAAATTAATTTAAAGCAGTCGTCTTAATTTTAATCCTAAAAATAATAATAGCGATAGTCATGAATGACATACGGAAAACAAGAGGGGGGCAGAGGGAAGCAGCGAATAACCTACTTAACGATTCTGTAAATGGTTAGAAGAACAGGAATTAGGGAGGATAGAAAAAAAAAACTTACTAAGAGTTATAAAGGAGAGCAAGTAGTGGAGAGTCATAATAACACACGTCATGAAAGGACACGGAGCATTGAAGAGAGCTTACCTGCCTTTAAAATCAGCACTTGAAATCATGTTTTCTTACATAAACTCAGACAATTACCAGTAGGGAATTCGTTAGTGTTTCGGGCAGGCAGCAGGCAGTCGTTATCAATCCATTTTAATTAGATGTAAAAGTAGTTGAAATATTTAAAAAAAAAAAAAAAAAAAAGAAAAAGATAACTGAATTAGTTTTCTTCTGTTTGTTCGACCATCTTTAATTCTTTGTTTTTTGATTAGCATCACAAAAAACAGTATTTCTTTCATGATACCTTTATTATTTTTTTGTTAATTTAATGACATTTAAAACGATAAAAACGTATAAAAATAAATTGTGCTTGCGTTGAACACTTTACTCGTGTACTAGTCAATGTTATCGAATTCTTGTGTTAGACCCTGTATTAATTTCTCCCAGGAAAAATAGTTATTTTTAAAAAATTTAAATATTAGTTCAGATATTAAAGTACAGGGTGGTCCGAAAATCTTGTCACCCATAAAATGAGTAATGAGAACAATAGAAGAACAAGTAATGCAAAGCACATGTACTGGATTCTGTTTATTCACTTTCACTGACGCTGTCACACATCGAGAAGGTCTGTATGAAAAAGTGACATTTTTGTGTCAGCCATCTGAAATAGACAATTATATTATGTAGGGGTGACATCACTTTCGGACCATCCTGTCGGTATGAAGAGAAATTGAAAAGGCAAAATAGTACACCCTTCATTAGAAGTGTAACGTCCATCAGTATATTATAATATTGCAAAGAAAACGATATCAATATTTAATAAAATACTCAGACGCTATCATTCTTACGTTTCGGCCAGTTAAATCTCCGGCCTTTCTCCGATAGATAACATTTTAAATAATTAAACAAACAACCAAAAAAATGCTGTTTCCCTCACTGAATCTTTCCGGTCAAAAGTGTTAAGGAAAAACGGAATTACTGTTTACCAAGGTGGGCCGGAGATTTGGCTGGCTGAAATGTATCTAAAAAATACAGGTAAGGATACTTATCGAAATAGATTTTATTTCACCTCAAAATTTCAGACAACGCAAGAGAAAATAAGCAAAATAAGAACATCAAGATGTTTATGGCGACCATAACAGCTTGGATCGCGCATAAAAACTTGGAATAGGGGTCTGCAAAAATACTAAGAAAGATTTAAAGATACTTGCTGTCACTTATTCCCCAGCGATAAACACCTGACATCAGGTAGGCATATGCAAATGTATAAAATAAAAGAAAGAAGAAATAAATGAGTCCAGTTCGTGGCGTTTTCAAGATCGACTGATAAAGATAATATGAAATTGAAAATAAGCAAATATATGAAATTAATATGTAGCCACGAGTCACTCTCGGGAGACGACGCAATCTACAAGGGTAGAAATTTAATCCCTGTCGCAGACACCTGCTCAGACACATTTTTTTTTCAACATCCACAGTACCAACCCGTGGTTTATATTTGCAACAGTGCTGAGCATGTTTTAGACACAGTTTATGTGAGAGAGTGAACAATTTGGAGTTGAACAAAAGTTCATTATATTTCAGTCATGATGACTTCTAAACTCGTGCCAGCACAACGATCGACAGTTTCTGAAACCTTTCAGCTATCCAGTTTCATTCATAAGGCAACCCGTGGGGTAGGGTTTTTAGGCACCTTTTTAATGGTGCCACACACTGGGATCGTCAGAACGATATTAGCAAGAAGTCACCATGATGAGATTCGAACCCGTATCTCATGCTCGGAACGTTAACGCTCTAATCATTCGGACATGCGTATATGAAATTAAAAATTATGGTAATACTAATGTTGCTATTACTACTAATTTTATTAGATATGTGGAAAGACTAGCAACGCCACATTTTGTCATATTAGAGTAAAAATGATACCCAACCCCGAAAAAAATCCTGCTAGTAACTTTCGCACAGCTCTAATATAATTTTCTCCTAGTTTTCCCGTCCAAAACAAATAAAAACGTGAAATGTTTTTTTAACCTGTAGTTTTTAATTTGTCTGACCCAGAAGAAAAATACAGAAATGTTTTTTTTTTTTTTTAAATCAATTCCGTTAGTAAAAACTTGAAACCGAAATCTCAACCTATGCTTTTTTTTGCATCCTACTCCTCTTGCCCTTATGCAATGTAGAGCTTCATATTTTTCCAAATTACTAACAGTTTTTACTGAAGTTCTTACATTATCGTCATCATCAATATGAGATTATTTTTGCGTAATTAATAATTCGCTCAATGATAACAAAAGAAAACATATTCTGTAATTACAGGGCAAATATCCCTCTCAACATTATCGCCAACTTGGAATGCTCACATAAAGACTTTCATTAAAATAATATTTACTTTTCATTTCTATTGAATTTAAAACGATAATAATAGCCTCTTAAATACATTCGGACCAGCTTATTCGTCTCTGTTACTTTTTATCTCAGTGTTTCGACCGCTCTAACCTTTGGGCTTCATCAGGTGTCTGTCTCATTCGGTAAGCTTCCAGAAATGTTGATTATAATCCTTTATTTGATATGCGGGATATATTTGTTTCATTCATCTACCTGTTGTATTTGGGGTCCTTCCGAAAGAGTTCCAGAACTCGTGATCGCCATTGCTCTACGGGGTTTGACGAATTGCTGATGTGTGCTATTTTCAAAGACAGTCGGATAGAAATAATGTACCGATAGTAGTCATTTTGGTAGAGTGGTGGGATATATAGGTAATGACTATATTTTACGAGAAATTTAATTAACCTTTGTTTAAATAACATTTTACACTTCTTCCGTCCCATAATATTTGTTATATTCAGTGTATAAATTGTGTGCGCAAATGTAGCAAATATTATGGGACAGGTTGTAATAAATATAATTGCACTGTCCCATAATTGTTGGTACATTTTGTGTATGAATTGTGTATGCAAATGTAACAAATATTATGGGACAGAGGTGGTGGTAAATATAATTGCACTGTCCCAAAATAGTTGGTACATTTTATGTATGAATTGTGTATGCAAATGTAACAAATATTATGGGAAACAGGTAGTATAATAGTTTTCTTATTCTGTTACGCCAGACTGTGTATTATTAAAAAAAAAAATTTCCATAAAAATTTAAAATTTTGTCAACATTTTTGGGTCCGTAATCCTAAATTTTATCAGCATTTTTACTCGACCACATCCTGGTAGGTTACTGAATATGTCTTAAAACCGAGGAAAGTTGGAAAGTGGTCGAAACCTTGTGATAAATACAACAAAATGAAGAAACTCGTCCGAATTAATGTATAAAATAAACGCCTCCTCTTGGAAATTCAAATCAAAATAGTTCACGAGAGTTTATCTGTTCTTGGTACCTGCACAATTGTTGTTTTATGCATTCTTTGTTTGAAACATAAGCGTTTTTTATGCCGTCATTATTTAATGTTGCTATTGTTTGTGAACTGTCTTGTAATAAACGACAATAAAATAGTCTTTAAAAATATTGAAGATTTATTAATAAGTTCTGCTTAAGTGTATTGCATATCTACTTAATGTGCTTAAGAATCAGTTGACTGTCTTTTGGACATTTTCTTTTTTGTCTACTTCAGGTATGGCCGTCGAAAGATTCTCTGCTTCTCCTATGTTCTTAATATATTCAGCGGTTTTGGAACGATATGGGCGCCTGAGTTTATATCTCTTGCCATCATTCGATTCCTGCAAGGTGTTGCATGTGCTGGTATCATTACCACTGCCTTTGTGATTGGTAAGTCAATTTCTATCTCTTTCTTTTATAAGATTTTTTTTTTTTTTTTTTTTTCGGCTCATTTCGACTCGGGATTGAAAGTGATGAAATAGATTCTATTCAAACATCAAAGAGTAATTCCATTTTTAATGGCGCTAATTGGAATATCCCTTCAAAAAGTTCGAAACCTTTAACAACTTATGACTCATTCGACGAATCAGATTAAGTATTTTGTCATTCAATTATTACATTTTGAATTATCGAATGTGGCGTACGTCCGAGTAAAGCCGGAAAACCAACCGGGCGAAATAGCGAAATGAGACTCTGTGAATAATTCGTCGAATAATAACGCTTCATCTTATGGATTCAGAAAACTGTTATCAAGATGAGGAATATTCTCAGAATTGTGAACAAATATCGAATTTTCTTTTATTTTAATTTTCATACTCGACTTATTTTGTGTTGTGCGATCTTTAAACAAATATCGATTGAATTTTTTCTTTTATTTTATAGTATTATTCTGCGTGTTTGTATTTTCATAGTATTTGTGTCTGACCCTGTCCCTTCTGTTATATAGTATTCATCTTATTTTTGTTTATAAGATGCGATCTTTAAACTTTATATAATAATATATAATATATATATATATATAAAATGCGTGTGTGGGTAGATAAGAATAAAAGAAGAAAATCAATGAAAGGAAAATATATATATATATATATATATATATATATATATATATATATATATATATATATATAATATGCGTGTGTGTGGGTAAGTGAATGAGAGAAGGGGAAACGTTTCTTCGGATTCAAGTAGCAAAACCCATTTTACAGTTGTATTAATTGAATCTGTCTTAAAAGTCTAAAAACAGTTTTATTAATTGAATCAATACAATACTTACTGGTTATATTTTTACATCGAAACGTTAAAAAATACGGAGACATTCAGCTTTAAAGGTTGAAGTCCGGTGTGTTTAAATTTTTAACCTAACCGAGACTTCATTCATGTTCCTGTCACTCTTTTATTTTTATTGTCATTATTTTCAATTGTAGTGACAAGAATTTTGTGAAGAAACGAAATATGGTGGACGTCAAATTGCCGTAGTGGATTCAAACATTAGTACAGTTTCAAGACATTTTCAACTTAACAAATCTTTTATTGAAAATTGCATTAAGTCGAAATGATATTTAGGCCGATTACGATGAATGACTAATTCACCGAGTGCATTGTTTTGTTAAATATGAAAATAAATCAATTCTTATAGTATTGAATTATATGAAAAGCATTTTTTGGTATTCCATATATTCTTTCCTTGTTTTATATAACGTTCTACATTGTCAAGAAAATCTCAACCCCCAAATAAAACTAGAGATTGGTCATGTCAAGGAAAAGAAGCACTTACCTTAAGTTGCGAAATAAAATTTCTTTCAGCGACGTAACGTGACCGTCTGATAACTTTCATAAAGTGAATGTAAAGGGGGTAAAAAATGCATTTTCTCTCCCTTATAACTACTTCAGGGATCATATGATAACAAAGTTATGTGACACCTGTAACTCTAAAACGTTTGAAAAAAAATAACAACTTTTAGTTAGTAAGAATCAAGCAACCCCAGGTGAATACATTGCTCTTCTCCCACCTGAACAGTCAAATTCTGGACAAGATTTCGTATTTTTCGATGATCGTCTTTCTTTTGAATGTTTTCCGTGCTGGTGGTCGGGGTTCACTTTTTATACGCGTTTTAAGGCATCAGAATCGATAACTGATGGTTTTTCTCTTCTGGAATTAAGAACAAGTTAGCATTTAAAAACAAAACAAACTTAAATCAATTTTTGACCATACATTCCCTTCGAATTGCAAAATCTTCAGTAACGCTCACCCAATACAAATTTCCACTCCAGGTTCTGGGTTACTGAAAGAAGTTGTTATAAAAACTAAGAAATGTAGATTATGAGAATATGTAAGATATATAATGGTTGGAACTAGACTTGAAAAAATTAAAATTGTATTGATTAGGGAAGCACCCTTTCCGGAGTCTAATTCACAAAATATCAGTTCTTGGGGAATAAGCTGTCTGATTGCAATTTCTTCCTTACCAATGGAATACGAAGGAAATGAGAATGATTCAAGCCTGTGTAAGTGGCATTGCGGATCTTAACTACAAAGGAGTGAGAACTGGTGGAACTAAAAAAAAAAAAAAAATCGAACGTCTTAACATTTAAAGCTTAAAATTATGTTATGGCAAATACATAAAAAGAATGAAAGAAGCCGAAAACACATCAGTGGCTGAGGGACACCGGGTTGAAAGCTGAGACAGAAGGCCTAATGATTGCAGCTCAGGACCAAAGCCTCACTACCAGATCCTATCACTGTCACATAATCAAGGATAGAACTAACCCGAAATACAGGATTTGCCGAAAATATGATGAAACTATATACCCGCAGAGGTAACAAGGTAGCGACATATGTACATAGTAAGATATGTAGAAAAAAAATACAGAAAAAACAAACAAAAATCTTAATATGCAATTATGCTGTATTAATGTTAATATAAAGTCAACGTCGGACGTTTCGGTCTATTTAAGACCATCTTCATGGACATTTTCATTTAAACATAATTAACATTAGAACATATAAAAATTTAACACAAAAGACGATGGACATAAGAGCACAATTAATCCAAACAAATAACTGAAATTTTTATATAAGATCAGCGTTCCGTTTAAATATGATCACGTCGTCGTCACGTGGGCGATGTCGTGAAAACGTATTCGAAGATGATTTCCAAATATTAAAATATTAAAAAAAGTCGATTGAACTATTTTATATAAACAGTTCAAGAAATCCCTTCCGTTGATATAGGAATACGTAGAGATCAACATTAATACAGCATAATTGCATATTAAGATTTTTATTTGTTTTTTCTGTATTTTTTTTCTTCATACTGTCGGATCTATATCCATATATTTGCTTACATAGTAAGATATGCAAGAAACACAAAATCGAAACCACTAAGAGATGATATGAGCACCAACCAGACACAGTTACCCAAAATAACGATGTAACTATCCTCTGGGACATGACAACACAAACTAACAGAGAAATAACAGAGAAATAAAAGCCAACATACCTGATATTATCATAAAAGACAAGAAATTCAGGAAGTCAGAGAAACACTTGCATAAAAATTATCAAGAAATTGTCCAAATACAAGGGCCTGGAGATCAAGACAAACTGGATGTGGGGAATGAAGACCGAGACTGTACCAATATTAATCGTAGCTCTGGGCCTCATGAAAAAAGGAATGGACAATTTTACTGACAGTGTCCCAGGTAACATCAACATACAAGTTGCCCAGAAGATCTCTCATACTAGGAATATCCCATATGCTAAAAAAAGTGAGATCAATTAAATGACAATTCACCTATATATAAGGACCATAGTTTGGAACAGGATACAAAGCAAGAAACAACAACAACAACAACAATAATAATAATAATAATGTCCTACTAAGTGCTGATGCACCGTGCATCTTTTGTTCATAATCGAGACTAATGGAGGAATGTCATGGCAGAATGACGAGAGAGATGATTTTTTTGTAAGTTTAAAGGATGATTCAGCCGAGGAAAGTAGGGAGTCATATCTAGATACTTGGTGGGGACACATACTCTCATTCGGTGACCGCCTATGCGTACTGGGTCACTCCAACTAAAGATACTTCTAACCCGGCCCGCACCTGCAAGGTTATGCACTGCTTTTACGTAAACTTGTCACCTTATCACGCAAACTTGGCTATGATAAGGTATACGAGCCCGAGTACTTAGAACTTTCGCTTTCCGACCATGCGCCGCGTGGTCGAGTTGTCAGGCAGGTGATTTTCTGTTATTATCGATCTGTTTGGAAAGTGCCTGAAAAAAAAACACTACCCAATGCTTTACCCAAACCTTTTGAGTGAAACTGTATAGACAGAACTATGTTTGTCGATGGTTGTGCTGGCACGAAGTCACAAGTCGTCGTGTCCGAGGGTTTGAGTGTACTGGCTTTGTTCAAACAGTTTATCCCACCAGATAATGTGTTCTCTCTCAGAAACTGTATCTTGGCATAATTGCACTATAAGGCAACAATTGAACAAACACAAATGTGCCTGAGCAGGCGGCTGCAACAGATTGGTTAGCCGCCCTAATAGACAGGCATTCTCGGATATGAACAGCCAGCTATTATACGATGATGGATATATTAGGCTTCGTATATTTGTATCCCAGCATTACATTGATGGCGTGTTGCACTCTCACTCAACAACAACAAGAATAATAATAATAAAAAACAACAACAATAATAATAATAACTAGAAATACGCGTGAAAATGTCATGGTTTTAATATTTGAATTTTATTAAGTACCACAATTCTTAACTTTTGATTGAAGTAGTTTCTTACGAGTCCCACGACTATAAAATAACCGTGGAAATTCCCTAATTGAAATGTTAAATATTTGAGCTTAAAAACTTTAACAAAATATTGCAATAACAATCATAAATAGGAATGCTGGTCATTATTTAAAGAAGTAAGGGTCTACAAATGAAACGATTTGAAATTGACAGGTTTTTCCATTTCATTAAAACACATGAGAATGTTATCGCTTACTCTATCTTCCTTTTCTTTCTTTTTTTCTTTTTCTAACTGAAACTAAATAGCGTCTCTGATATGTTTTTTCCGTCTTTCCACGGATCAAAACGGAATAGTCCATTATTTATGACGTATTGGCAAGGCGTAACGAATGAAAAAACAAACAATTATAAAATGATAGTAGTGGAGTCACAAATCTTTTATTAACATTTTTAGTGTAAAAGACTCTAAGAAACGAAAATCCTTTTGATACACTTTAGTATATGATGATGAGTCAAAGTGGAATTTTTTTTTTTTATCAAAGACGCATTTCGCCAGAGAAAGAGTATAACATATTTCTCTCCTTTCGTTTGACGGAAAGAAAGATAAAGTTTATTGGGTGAGCTGTTTTTCTGATATATATATATATATATATATATATATATATATAAGAAAATCTATACATCATACTTATTATAAAACCCAGGTTGTGTGTGTGTGTGTGTGTGTGTGTGTGTGTGTCTGTTCGTTTATATATTGGATCGGATTTCCTACATTTTTCAACCGATTTCAACAAAACTTCACAGGACTACGTAAAATTACCTTGCGGTGGTTCTGACAGCGAAAAACACAATTACTCTTGCAAGAAATCAATTTGAAAACACGATTAAGAGGCATTAATGAAAGGGGGACAACTCATATCGAGTTATACGTATTATAAAACCCAGGTTGTTTGTTTGTGTGTGTGTTCGTTTATATATGGGATCGGATTTCCTACATTTTTCAATCGATTTCAACAAAACGTCACTGTTTTTTTAGCAGGTAGTATTTCTTATTGTCTTGCACACTTTTTTCTTTATTTTTACATTCAGAATGCTTTAAAAATTCCATTTACAAGACAATTGTTTATAATAAAATTCTATTCAATCGGTAGACTCATAACAATTGAAAACAATGTTTTTGTTTGAGTTTGGGTTTGACCAATTCGTAAAAAAACAAAAAAAACAAACAAACAAAAACAAAAAAAAAAAAACTAATTAAGACATGCATGTCCATCAACCTTAAACAATAATCTTTGTCAATTTTATTTTTCAGTCTTTATGATGCTTTAAATTTAATTATATAATTAACAATTATTACTGGTTATTACTGTGTAGCGAAAAAAACATATTTTCAATCAGTTAATTTATATACGTATATATCGTCATCCAAAGAGAGACAGTTTTATAGCTTATCAGTGTGGCTAGACATCCGATCGCTTCAATCTAGGACCTGACCCGACTGATTTGGCATCAGTCGGAGATTGTAACGCTTAGGTTATCGACGCCCGTCATGGAGAGACGAATTTTTGCGTATTCATTTTTTCATAAATACGCCAGTGACCTAGAGAACACAATCCATCTTGGAGAGCCTTGCATTATATATATATATATATATATATATATATATATATATATATATATATATACGGTTTGTTTTCTTCGCACCTCTGAGTTGACAAGGCTTATAAGTATATATTTGTGGGCCGAAATAGCTATTCGAATGTGGTAATTTTGGATTTTATTATATAATATATATATATATATATATATATATATATATATATATATATATATATAGGCAACAATTTTAATTGATGCATGTTTCATTAAATAATATTGACAAGTTTTGTCTATTTATTTTTAGTAAGTTCCTTTCATATTGTCTGATAAGCTTAATAACATTATCATTGTTTGATATATTGAAATGTAATTGTCATCTTTGATAATGGCTTATGTAAGCCGAAAGCTTGGATATGATTTAAACATGTATCAATATGGTGATTTCCTTTCGTCTTTCAATGATAATGTTATTAAGCTTATCAGACAATATGAAAGGAACTTACTTAAAATAAATAGGCAAAACTTGTCTATATTATTTAATGAAACATGCATCAATATATATATATATATATATATATATATATATATATATATATATGTGTAAACTAACAAATCAGGCATCTCAATGCACCTAACCAAAATGGCTGTTATATATATATTGTATGGTTGTGTGTGTTCGTGCGTGCGCGGGAGTATATGTGGGTGCACATATACATATAGTGATTTTCCAAGTGTAGCTTAGATGTCGCACAAGGCCGAAAATATGGATCGTAATTCTTCTAGCGAGACAAGGTTGCTAACCATTACACCGCCCCGAGGTGCCCAGATCCACATATACATATATGTGTATATAAATAGTGGTTTGAATGAATATGCGTTTACAGATATAAATATACATTTATAAATATATATAATAAAATTTTCTATTATATGTATATACATGCATGTGTGTGTATGTATGCATTGCTTCAATTTTTCTGCTATGTCGTAATGCAAATGCTGTAATTATAATCTCATGTATTTCTTTCTTTTATTTAAAGGAATTGAAATTGTTGGACCTTCTAAAAGAAGATACACTGGAATTAACTTTGAATTCTTCTTCGCGAGTGGATTCGTCATTTTGGCATTATTGGCTTATTTGATTCGGAACTGGCAATATTTGGAATTGGCTCTGTCAATGCCAACCATTTTCTACATGCTCGTATGGTAGTAAGTAATCGATTTTTGTTTTTCTTTATAGGCAATTCACAAGCTATCTTTCATTTTATTTCTTAAAAGCAGAGGTACCTGTCGTTGATCGGGAAGTAATAATAATAATATTGATATTACGAAGAAGACAAATGCAGTCATTTTATTTGTATAAATTATTACAACGACTAAGGGAAGTAACCACACATTAATTTGGTGCCAAAAGTTGATTTACCTCCCTTACTGCTCTATTTTTACATGAGAATAACATCTATGAGGAATAGATTCTTTGATCTTATTTTTGATTTTTGCATGATTTTGGGGTCAACTTTACGTAAACTGTGACCCAGGTGATGTGATAGGCTAACTGAATAGCAAGTATAGTTGAAATCAATGCAGTAGCTTCCGAGTCTAAGTGGGCAAACAACCAGACACACAGATTTTATTTCATTTTACTTGTATAGATTTCTTATTACTAGATTTATGTTATTTCCTTGAAATTAAAATCAAAATTCAAACTTCAAGGAATCAAGATTGTTACAATGAGCTATCCTTTTCTTTTTATTAAAAAAGATCGTGAACCGTTTTGATAACAATATAAAAACTGGCGACACAATGGGTCCCTCTTAGGATACCCAAGTCAAATGCCTTGTAAGGGATTTTATCTGAGCCTGAAGTACCTGATAACATATGAGTACAAGAAAAATAGAGATGTGGGAACTTCAAAGCAATACTCCACATGTAGGGAAAAACAAATTGAAGTAAATAAATTACTAAAACTTCCGGGGTCAAGTGTTACTCAGTCGGAAGTTAGGGGATACTTTTGATCATCGACAATGATAATTCAGCAGCATTATAGACTTTAGGTGTGGACATGAAAGAACCTTTGTTATAAATGTATATATAAAAACATATTAATTATATAACATTGTCATACATAGTCTTTATTTGTTTACAGCATAAAATCTTTGTTATAAATAACAGTAAAAAGTTTTGATTCACTCTAATATTAAATTTCAATTAATGATGAATTGGATCTGCTCGGACTTCTACTTTCCATTTTCGATGGAGTCCAAAAGCTTCTCCGTGTCCTTGTGCCTGTTGAAGCATTTGCTACCTACAATCCATTTCTCACTAATCTATTACTATCTTCAAGGGAAGTCTTCAGACGAATTACATTTCATATCTGTTCTAACCTTCACGGCTTAAACCAGCGATGTCCGCACATTGTAGCGAAACGTCATATTTCCCTTTGTATTCCATAGGTTCTTCTCACTTCTCCTGAAAAGGTACTTTGTGGAACCGACTCACTATAATCTTAACCTGTCCAACGTCTAGGGTTAACCGTTATCTTCGCCACATATCTCCATAAACTGTGCCTCTTACTATGTAACACTCTACCTTGAGTGGCTCTTGAGCCTTGTACAAGGTCAACATTATTGTCGAAAGAAGTTGGCTTTTTAAAAGTCCTGGCTGTATGCTTTTATTGATTCTTCCTTTATTCTTTAATAGAACTTTAAAAAAAAAACCCAAAAAACAAGTATTTCATTATCTATATGTTGTCAAATAAATCTATACTTTTTCTATATTAGAATATTGCCCAGTTATTTTTCATTAGTAGAAAGGGAATTATATTAACTTCTCTGGATTGATTCTTCTGAATTCTTAACGTAGGAAATTGACAAAATATGTTAATTCTACTTTAATTTAAATCAACAGTTATGTCCCGGAATCCCCACGATGGTTGCTGAGTCAAGGATTATATGAAGAGGCTGAAGTAATTATGAAAAAAATTGCCGAAGGAAGTCATAAAGAACTCTCAACAAAGATACTGGATTCTTTAGATTGCAACGACAATGCAGATTCCGTTCCTCTTTGGAGAATATTCATGTCCCGAAAATTAGCAGTCCAATCATTAATTATCTTTTTTAATTGGTATGTTACTTTTTTATTCTTTGACTTTTATTAGCTACCGAAAAGGTGAAAACATTGTTTCTGCAAAATGCTCGGAATTGGCATAACTTAATCATTTTTTCTATTTAAAATTTTTAAAAATGAAAAAAAAAGTCTTATAAAAAATCATTTTCAACAAAAGTTTTTTTTTAATATATTTTATTTATAAAATCAATTAAAAGCTTTTCTTATTAAATAATGTCATAGTTTTATTGCATTTTTTATTTTACGATTTAGAGTAGATTTTCGGTAAATTGTGTTTGTTTTGTGACAAAAACAAATTGATGATTTAAATCCTCCAAAGAATCCTGCTTTTAACTAATATAAATATGAAGTGACTGAAATATAAACATGAAGAGGCTGAAATATAAACATGAAGAGGCTGAAATTTTAATGCCTCGAAATTTCATAAAATTAAGTAAGTGGAGGAAGTAACAATATATAAAAAATTACCAAGATTTTATAAAAAGAAGAAACATTTAAAAAATAATTTCATTCATTTGTGAATACGTTCTGAAAATCACACTAAAATTCGAAAATTATTTGATTTTTGCATGAATTTCCGTAAGAAAAACAAAATTTTAACCAAAATTTAAAACGTACTAGAATGGGTTAAAAGATTTAATAAAATTATAAAAAATAGTTTGGTCTTCGCTCTTCTTAATAACACGATTTTGACGATAAAAGTTTAAAAAGTTTTAGGGACATTTTCATCATGGCATGCTTGTTTTTGAAAATCTTTGGCGGTAACTAATATATATATATATATGTGTGTGTGTGCGTTTATACACACACACACACACACACACACACACACACACATATATATATAGTTTCTCACTATTATATTCATAGTTATAGATTTTTCTAAAAATGCAGTACAATATTATTCACCCTCTCCTTATGAAAATTATGACATATTATTGCATTATGGGAATTGTAATGTTTTTTTTTTCCTTAATTTAACATTTAATACAAACACCCTTTCAAAATGAAATAGTATTGACCAGATTCTATAAAATTCTAAAAGGTAATGATGTAAACAATATGTGAGTGATAATGTACCATGATAATTCACTCGTTCTGTAAACATGGCGAAGGTGGCTGAACAAGAAGTCCCGAATGAAGATAGTTGATACGTACAAAGTGATGGATTTCCAAGTGTTTAAATGTTCCTAGATCGACGATTCTTAACATTATCAAGAAGTAGAATGTGACTCATTGTGTTGAGAATAAATTAAGGACTGACAGAAAACAGTTAATTTCTGAGATAATGGAAAAGAAAATTTCTCAAAGAATCCTCACATAACACAAAGGATATTGTCAACAATGTAAAGACATCAGGGTTAAATGTATTGATGAAGAGAATCACTAGAAACTTTCATCAAGCAAGACTTCAAGTTTATCAGCCAAGGAAAACCCCTTTGTTTAAGACTAAACACTTAAAATGCAAATTAGCTTATGCTAGAAGACATCTAGAACATAGCAGTAAATATTGAAATTCTGTTTTATGGTCAGATGAAATCAAACTAGTATTATTCCATCAAATGCACACCCGTTATGTTTGAAGGAAAGTGAGTGAAGCTCACAAATCAAAAAATACCCTGCCCTACAATTAAGCACATTCATGGAAGCATTCTACTCTGGAAATGTTTTGCTGCTTCTAGACCAAGAGAACTAGTGAAAGTGCAGGGAATCATGAATAAAGAGCAGTATTTGGTTATTCTTAAAAATAATATAAAACAAAGTGAATAAAAGCTTTCAGACATCACTGGATGTTCCAGCATGACACTGATCCAAAATATATGGCACAAATTGTTACAAAATACTTAGATGACAGCAAAATTAAGGTATTGACATACCCAGCACTTAACTCCATTGAAATTTTATTGGCATATTTGAAGGAAAAAGTAAAAGAAATAAGTCCTTTGAATTTGGAGGAACTATTGCCAAGAAAGAATCGAGCAAAATACGTATCAGTGTGTGTAGTTATCTTGTAAGGAAATATCAAAAACGATTAAAGGCAATAATCATAATAAACGTTATACAAATGATTATTGAGGCAAAACGGACAATAATTTTCTCCTATACTTTGATGTTTTTTGTATTATTGTTTTGCATTAAAATTTTTTTTTGTTGTGAGCATCACTTTCAAATTCATTATTTCTTCATTTGTGAAAAAATTCCCATAAAGTTTCCATGAAAATATGAGGTATTACAGCTTTATTTGTAATTATGGAAGTGGGGTGCTGAATAATTTTGTCGAGATCTATCTATCTAACTATCTATCTATCTATCTATCTAGAAGGATAGATAGATATTATTAATGATATTTATAAATATCATAAATACATTGCTTTTAACATATTAAATATATATTGTAGATAAAAAAAACTTTTTGCATTTTATACCTATATAATGTTTATAGAATAGTTTAACATTATATTTTTTACTATCACTTATAACATGTTTTATGTAATATTTAAACTTTCACAAATATAACCACAATCTACACTAGGAATAAACAAACAGATTTATTTAATATTCACAAAAAGAGCCATTCTTCCCTCTGATCATTTTTTTCATGCAAATTCTACGATATTCGGCGGTATTTCTTCTGGAAAATGAAGATAGGCCGAAGTTATGTATATGTATATATATATATATATATATATATATATAGGAAACCTACAGATTTACCTCCATTATATATGAAGAAACCTACAGATTTACCTCCATTATATATATATATATATATATATATATATATATATATATATATATATATATCTATGAACTAGATTTTAGTGAAAAAAAGAGTTGGCGGAGGTGTTATTTTCAGTAGCCAGTGTTCCTTATTGATGAATTGTTGACAGTGCCTATGTTTGGTGATTAAATGAGAACTAAAGATTTGAGTGTGATTTGATCGGAAGTACCGTGTACCGTGCTTTACATTCGTAAGTAAACGCCCATAAACTGTTCTTTCTTTCTAGGTTTGTGGTCAGCATGGTGTATTACGGCCTGTCATTGAACAGTGTAAATCTCGGTGGGAATATCTTTGTGAATTTCCTGTTGGTTGGCTTAGCCGAATTTCCTGCTTACGTCATTTGTATCTTAATACTTGACAAAATGGGCCGGAAACCTGTCTACTGTACGAGTATGATCCTTGGTGGAATCGCTTGTATCCTCACATTATTTAGTATGATATATTTGGATAAATGTAAGTACATTGCTTTGTTGTCTTACAGTTTAGTGCAATTAGATTTGGTTTAAGTGGAAACCAATAAATCCCCATGTTTTAGACTCTATTATATTTCCAATCTATCAGAAAATGTAAAATAACTGTTTATTTCTAGTCTTGCTTCCTTTTCTTTACTACTCTTCGTTATGCTTTACATTTATTTACTTTTTTTTCTCTTCTGTACATTTGTTTTCCTTTCTCTTCTCCTTTCTCTTCTCCTTTCTCTTCTCCTTTCTCTTCGCCTTTCTCTTCTCCTTTCTCTTCGCCTTTCTCTTCTTCTTTCTCTTCTCCTTTCTCTTCTCCTTTCTCTTCGCCTTTCTCTTCTCCTTTCTCTTCGCCTTTCTCTTCTCCTTTCTCTATTCTGTTTCTTTTTCTATCCTTCTTCTACTTCTTTCTTTACTTCTATCATTATATTTTCTTTGCATTTTCTGTTCTTTCGTCTTGGTCCTTCTTTATCTTTCAGCCTTAGATTTTCTTTTATCCTTTCATCTTGGGCCTTCTACTATCCTTTCATCTTGGGCCTTCTACTATACTATCATATTGGGCCTTCTTCTATCCTTTCATCTTGGGCCTTCTTCTATCCTTTCATCTTGGGCCTCCTTCTATACTTTCATCTTGGGCCTTCTTCTATCCTCCCGTCTTGGACCTTCTCCTATACTTTCATATTGGGCCTCCTTCTATCCTTTCGTCCTTGGTCTTCTATCATTTCGTCTTGAGCTTTCTTCTCTCTTTACCTCTTTGCCTTCTCTCCTTTTTTCTTTGCATCCGTATATACCGCATTATATCAATTTCTCTCTTTCCTACTGGAAAACGATATATAAATTTTTATGTATCAAGAACAATTTTATGGCAAAATCTATGACAAAGTGGAAAAATGTTTCATGTGATGAGTTTCGTCCTGTGGTTCTTCAACGGAATAAAGTGATGTTTACGTTAATGCCACTGAACCTGTACACGAAAGAGGGGGGCTGAGGGGGCTGAGAATTGTATATTTCTTACATTTTTCCGATCATCTATCTTCAAACCTTTCCGCTCTTCATTCATCGAACTTCATCGTTTACTTTTACTTTCAATCTTTTCCGCTTTTCCCTTTTTATATCTTTACATTCTTTTTTTCTACCATTTTTCACTTTTCTATTTTCTCTCTTTTCCCGCCGTTTTTCACTCTTATTTTTTTTCAGTCTTTTCAGCATTTATCTTCTTTTTTTTCCTTGTTTTTCCAAATCTTTTCAACTTCCTGTCAACTGTATTTTTCCCGCTTGTTTTCGCTTTTCTTTTTTTCCGATCTTTTTCACTGGTGGAAAGAAAATTCCTCTTCTCAGAATTTCTTAGAAGTACACATCAACATAACCTAAAGCAACAAAGAATATAAGTTAAAATAACTTGTAAATTAATGACAAGAAATGCGTGCCTCGGTGTGGAGTAATGGTTAACGAGCTACTATATCCATGGCAAATAATCAGTGGCTCGTTCCTCGCTGGATGCTCCTTATCTGTGGACTACGCTTTGTATTGTAGGACTTCTCAGTGTGGGATAATGGTTAACGAACTAGTCTGCTTTGTCAGTCCCAATGATTAGAGAAATCGATACTCACTGGGCACTTCATATCTCTGGCTTAGTGAATGATGACTATTGTCGTAGGAACACAATAACCGTATTGTAATTAAAAGAATGTTATTTCTCTACCTATCCATGTATTGTTCTTAATGTTCAAGCAAAGTTAAGATCATTTTAAAAGATGTTCTGCTTCCTCACCGTATTAGCGCTGTAGTTTACCATTATAAATGACTGTGTAAAGCTGATTATATGGGTAGAACGAGTCAGAAATTGGAATTAAGAATTAATCAACATATATCAACCAATATTCGAAACGGAAATTTGAATAATTTGCATATGCGCATCAATACATCTGGATCGGCATTAGCGAAACATTTGTTACTTAAGTATTGAGACTTCTCAAACAGATAGATCCCAGAAGATAATTATTAATAACCAGTCCACCGGTCCCTTGAACTACCACCAGTCACGATAAACTGATGTTTCCTTGGGGAGGCTCCGTGCCTTTTAAACTATTGGGCCTTAAACTCAACCCGACTTCAATTGGTAAAGATGCAGGAAAAATGGTCGAGTTCCCCGTACCGCTCCAGTAAGTACCTGACTCATGCTATCCTCTTCCTTTATAAGAGCCATATCAAGCCGAAAATGGAGTACTGTTATCATATTTGGGCGAGAGCTGCCCAGTCCTGCTTTTTCAGTCTCGATAGAATTCAAAATCATCTCTGCGTCCTTGTGGATGACAAAATATTTTCGCCCTTCAACTTCTCTCTCACAATCTCTTTGACAATCCTTTCTCTTCTCTATCACCACTTCCAGGCAAAGTGCTCGGACGAAGTACATTCTTTGATTCCTTGACAGCCAGGACCCGCCATGCCACTCGCATTGTAAAAACCTCCCATATTCCCTCCGTATTCCAATGGTGAGATCTCAGTTCCACTCGAACAGCTTCTTCCATGAACCACTGACCTATGGAACCGACTCCCAAGGGGATGCTTCCCCGATCACTACAATCTTAACTTGTTCAAGTCAACCGTTATCGTCTTCTCCTATCCGTATAAACTGCCTCTTATATTTACCCTCTATCTTGAGTTTTCCTCTGGGTCTTGTACAGAATTAATGTTACTGTAAGAAACAACAAAAAAGAGCTAATAACGTTTCATCAATCCAGAGAAAAACTTAAATTTTCTCCAGCCTTGACAAACAGCTTCACACTTAATAAGGCTCGTTGTGTTGGATGTCTACGTCTCAAGTTCATTCCAGATCTCAAGTAGAATTCAGACATACGACCCATCGTTAAAGATGTTGGGAAAATGGTTGGCTCCTTATAACGCTCGAGAAAGTAACTGACTAACTTTTGCCATGTTTTATCTTTACAAGAGTTAGTTCAGACCAAAAAAGGATGATTCCTGACACATTTGGTTTGCTAAGACTTCACATTTCAAACTTGACAGAGTTCAAAATCGTTTACGCGGCCTTGTGGGTGATTGCTTCTTTTCCACCCTACTGCCTCTTTCCCACAAACGCAACGTTACCAAAAATGTTAAAACGTATTCCATTCCATAGTTCACCAAATTGAGGCGAACCAACTTCATTCCTTTCACATTCTTTTAGTAAGGAGTAAGTTCCACTCGGACAGCTTCTTTTCAAGAATTGCTACTTTGTGGAACAGACTCCTGAGGGGGGTGCTTTCCGACCACAACAATTTAACCTCTTCAAATCTAGAGATAACCTTTATCTTTCTCACATATCCGCATAAACCGCGCCCCCTTACTCTAACCACCTTCAGACGAACTCCTTTTTTAGTGTTTCCTCTTGGGATTTTTGAGGCCAAAACATGCCTTGCTACGTCCAGATGTTTGAACCCCGCTCATTTCCTACGTATTCTATTGATAGAAATGATGTTCTAATCGGACATATTCTTTCCAAGAACCGCTACTTTATGAAATTGACTCCTGCCTGGATGCTTTCTCTTAAATCTAGGATCAATCATTATCTATCCTCTATATCGTCATAATCTTCATTTCTTACTTCATTCTCTTACGTTCATATCACACATCTTATTCAGCAACGCTCTATCTTGATAGGCTATTGGGCCTTAATTAGGTAAAATTTGTATTGGTGTTTGTAAAAAGCCCCACCACACTGGCGAAGGCTTGTCTTGTGGTAACATTTTAACAATAAATTTTCATCTCAGTCACCGTAAGTTCTTTTTTCCCCCACAGCTCTTAATGGCATCGCAATTGCTCTGTCAACATTCGGTAAATTTAGCGTTGCAGCCTCCTTCGCAGTTGTCTACATCATTTCCGGTGAGCTTTTTCCGACTGTAGTGAGAAATGGTGCTGTTGGCTTGAGTTCTTGTTTTGCCCGAGTTGGAGGCATGGTGGCTCCGTACGTTGCTGAAGCTGTAAGTCACTTTTTTTTTCACCTTAGTTTTATTCTGTGTAAGAATTTTGGCTTTAAACTATCGGGTCGCATATAAGAATAAATCTAAATGTAATATTTTGCTGTATCCAAATATACAGGATCTTGAAATTTTTCGCCCCATCCAAGAAACAATTTCCAACCCCACAAAATTTGATTTTTTGGTTACTTTGCCAGATATTGGGAAGTTGGTCGAGCCAAGCACATCTATATTTTTGTGTAAATTTTTTCTCTGTCAATTGAACAGCCGACTACATGAATATTGCGAATATTCATTTCTATATAATGAATTGTTCTGGTGACGAAAGGGGGCATAACATGTTCATGCTAGAAATATTTAGTTAATCGTAATCGGTCCTTTGGCCTCTGGTGTGTGGTCGTCGGCTGATTGCGCAGTTCCATGACTATATGTCTCGGTTTCATTTATTCATCCTTCGGGCAAGTAGACCTACAAGTTGTACCACATCAGATGTCGTCCGGCTTGAAGGCTATTTGGTTTGAGGTATTATTAAATTGGATGTTCGCATACCGTAGCGGTTATTGGCACAGAAAGTAGAACTGATGTGCCGAATTCAAGTCCCAGACAAGGTTGTTGCATTCACTTTAGCAAAAAGGTAAAGGTATAAATCCATGTCTCCTCTCCCCAGTTAGGAGTTAATGATTTGTCTAACTTTGAGTCTATGAGAAGGATAACTCAAAATTCAAACCGGTTTGAAACTTACTCTTTACGGAAACCACAGTATCAACACTCTACATTGTGAAGCTTTGGTCATATAGTCCACTGGTTAGTCCACATGGTTAACATAGTTAATACTCTTAAACTGCAGATAAATAAACTTTTATTCATATATATATATATATATATATAAAATGGTAAAAATATAGTTATAGGGTAAAAAGGCTCAATATCAGGGATAGAGCCTATGTAGATATAAAAGTAGACATTGCATTGAGGTCAACACTGGGTGGACAGTTGCTTGAGCGCAATCTTCAAGCCATGGTCTGAAGACTGCGATCAAGAATGAAGCAGACTATCAACTCTCAAAACATGTAAAAATCGCTACACAATGGCAATCATGTTTCAATGCATCTCATCAGGCGATTGTAAATTATTGTTGATTGTACGATTTATTATGATTTAAAAGCGATATATAACATCTTTTTTTTTTCGAAAAAAGATGGTTATGAGGTTTGCGGGCTTTACTCTGATCAACCAAACAAATATGACCTACGTTAAATTTAAAATAAGGGAAGAAGCAAAAATTAAAATTATTTTTTATAAATGGGTCATGACCCGTAGATTGGCAGCTAACGGCAGCCGGACATAAACTAACAGTGGATACATATGGTTATATAAAATGCGCAAACCAGACAATGCAGTTTCCTAAGAAATGAAAGAGGTGGGGGTTAGAGATGTAATTTAACAAAATGCTAAACAAGTTATATGCTTTGTGAATTTCCTACATAATTTTTTGTAGTTGATGAATAAATGGCTTCTTTAAGAAACTAGTAAATAATTTAAATATTTAGAATTATTTGGTAAATTAATCTGCAACTGTTAAATAAATATCCTTCATATAAGATGTTAAGAACACTAACCAATCAATGTAAAATGTCAAAAATAGCAACCAAATACCAATATATCTGTACAAGATGTTATTAATACTACCAGGGAATTAATATAAAATTATATTAAATCCAGATTAATCTTACAAAGATAAGCTATATTCAGTGCAACGCAGTACAACTAAAATATAAGGAAAAGCATTATCAAATTCCAAATTTTAACTAAATTGTAAGGTAAAAGGTAAACTATGCTTACAATTCACTTACAATTTTTTGTCAAAAAATCTGATTATTTCGACATTTTCATGTAAACACAGAAAACGGGGTTCATATAAAGATCTACATGTCCTTACCGTTTTTATAATTTTCCATTTCACCTTAGGTATCTTATTATCATTTAAACTTCAAAAATATTTCGAAAGTGATATATTATTTCTGTAAATAGTATTGGTAAAGGACAAGATATGTTGATACCACCTACTCTTAAAAGAATTCTTAGTACGACCAATATAGAATTTTTCAACTGTAAGATTCTCTATTGTAAAGATAGTACTAAGATAATCAAGAAATTTAGTTAGACATTTGTCTAGCAATGGGCATTGGTCAGAATTCCTACAATTACATTAGCCAATATCATTGGGACGTGTATTATGACCCAGATTATTAAATTGGTTTAAAATTTATTATTGTGTAACTTTATAATCTTCTCAAGATTATTGGTGATTAGTTTTAATGTGTTTCTGTTAAATATTATACTAACAGGGTTATTTTTACGAAAATGTTTATTAATCAAATGGAGGAGCTTCGGGCCTAATTTAGTACTGACTAATAGATTAAATGGGAAGGGGGGGCAAATGATTTTCCTATTTCTATTTCTTTTCTTTGGACCACTATCATAATATTTTCTAAACTTAATTTCAGCGTACTTTTTAACCACTATTCTTTAAAACTTTATTATACACACTGCTATATTTATCAAACAGATCTCTGTCCGATGAGTAGTTGCTAATCCAAAGTTCTACAGGCGAAGTTTTATATTGGATTAGAGATGGAGGGTATTTAGAATTATGGTGAATATATATTCGGCAGGCATTATTTTGCATATAAGGTTGGAATACATCATTAACAAGATCTAGTGTAACATCAAGAAAATCTACTTTAAGATTGGTACTTATCTTAAAGTTAAAATTTAAACTTTTTAGTTCGCTATGAATCATTTTTCTTTAATTTATCTACCTTAATTTTAGTGGAACTTTTTACCACTTTAAGACCATCATCTCTATATAACTATATATTATCAATATTTACATATTCATAGACAACAAGGTTATATATAATAAATAACTCCACAAGATTAGAAGAATGTGCAGAATCTAATGATCCCATTGAAATATCAAAGTAATCATCAGAGTTCTTAACCCACTGTTCTTTATTGTGGATGAGAATTGATCTTCTACAGTCCATTATTATATTTATCTCATCACTGGAGATGTTAGAATATTCTTTGGCAAATTCCAAAGCCAGGGTAAAGAGATCCTTGGATGGAAGGTTAAAAATCCAAAATATCAAACTGGATAAAAGAGCAGCTGCTTTTGTTACTAATACCTCTAAACCAATTAATGACTTCTGTGGTATCAAGCCAATGTATAATTCCGAGGTGTCGTTTGATCTGTTTGTCTACTCGATCTATGATAATTTTACTTATCCTTCTTATTTCCGGTCTGGTAGGGTTTATGATCCTTGTAGGTAGTTTCGTCTAAAAGTCTGGCGTATGATCTTTAAGCAAGATATGATTCTTTAGTACAGAGTTTACTAACCCTATTGCTAATTTTAAGTTTATCAGTAATATTTCTAGAAACAGAGTTAATTTTAACACAATATTGTTGGTATCTATCTTCTTATAATTCTTAGTCAAATTGTTTTTGATTAATGCATTTTATTCTTTGGGATTAATTTTTTTTTAAAATTAGTAGTTTTATCAGATTTATCAAATATTTGGTTGGATTTATTAATAACCTTAACTATACAATCTAAATGCCTCTGAAACTGATTTCTATTTTTATGAAAATGATGTCATTAATAATGTTTAGTAGATCAGTTTAAAAGCCGGGAACAAATATTTTGATAATATGAAAGTACACTTTAATTATATTTGTTAAATCACGGTAAAATTTATATAGTGACAAAGGAAAATAAAATGTATTTAGTGACAAAGAAAATTTTACAGAAGGTGATTAAGAATTTTGTTTTTGCACAAATAATGCGTATGAATAAACATTTCTATATTCCCAATAATTAAGATTTGGTAGTTTTAAAAAGTTTCAGTTTCTATTATTATTATCGCCATTCCATGTTTTGCAGATTTTTTGAAGCAGCTTTTTAGGAGAATTATTAGTGAAGAATAAACGCCCAAAATATTGTGATATGGGAATAGTTCAGTTTACGACATTATTAAAATGACATTTTTCTTTAAATTTCAGTCAAATATCTTGCCTTATCCATACAATAAAGTCGTCCCATCGTTAACATTCGGCTTGTTCGCCATAGTCGCTGGAGTGTTAGCGCTTTATTTGCCGGAGACATTCAACAAACGTTTGCCAGATAGCATCTCTGAAAATTGTTCAGAAAGGTAAGAGTTTCTTTGAGCTTTTTACCTGCAACAAAAGGGGACACATGATTCCATTGCTTTCCTAGTTCTCCTCAGCTTTCAACCGTGCGCTCTCCTACAGACGCGAAACGTTTCCCGCCTTTTCGCTGCTCTATTTTTGCCATTTATGCAGTTAAGCTTATCTTAACAAATTTTCAGCGTAGAAACTAAGTGCTTAAAGCGTTATCAGGTTAAAACATAGGTTCTCGTCTGATCAACGAAGTTAAGCAACACTGACCGGTACCTAGGTGGGTGACCTATTTGGAATAGTGGGTACTGGAAGCTTGGATGTACAGGTGGTGTGATGAATTACGACTCTTAATGAGAACTTGGACAGTAGATTTCGGATTCCTATCGAGTTCGTCATATTGACATGCGCGAATACTCTTGGGAATGTTATGAACCCGTCTCTTCTTTAGATCGAGATTCTTCTGGATCAAGTAACAAGGAAAATTAGATCATATAGCCTTGGTTTACAAGCAGTTTACAGCAGAAAGTAACGGCAGCCTACTGCGGGAATTCTTCTGCCAAATCAGTCATGAATTGAAAAGAGTTATTATCGCTCAAGCGTGCATCCCGCATGGTGCCCAGGGAAGTGGTAGAAACACCTAACAAGATGTTTTCATCAGTACTGGCTCATATAGACTTTAGGTGGAAAAGTTAGTCGACAGGATAATATAGTGGTTGAATAGCTGACATGAATTTTATATGAGTGCATCATATGGAATCCAATCTTCTAAGAAGCAAGAAAATTTATAAAGTATATTAATATTGTTTATGACTGATTTTTGATGACATGACTATCATAAGATTATATGTTTGGAATATTTTTTACTAAATTATTAGTGATATGTTCATAATGTTCAGTAATGTGAATCTATGAATAATGTTTTTGATGACTGATTCATCTTATTTGTATCATCATCATCATCATCATCATCATCATAATAATAATCATCATCATTATAATCATTATAATCATACATCTTGTGTCTACTGCTGGACAAAAGCTTTTTCCCAGATCTTTGAATGACCAATGTGATTGTGCTACACTCTAATATTTCTTATTTATTTCGAGCATTGTTCTTTTTAATGATCTTTGCGCGCTTTTAATTTTATTCAATTCTATCTAATTTGGCTTTCAAAGGATTTTGTTAATTTCCATGTTCTGCATATTTACTTCATTACTAGTATCATGAATTCATTATGCACTTTATGTTTTAAGCATATTAGCATGATGCATTTTATTGTATCTTTATTTTTAACTAAATTCTTTCCATCTAATTGTTATATGTCAGGTTATGAAATTTTTTAATTATCTTTCTTCAACATTTTCAACTGCTTCTAGGTAGATGTATTTCGGGCCTTTTGCAGTTCTTCATCCTCTATTCTAATGATCTTTTTTCATGTTAAAAATGTTTAAATATATATATATATATATACAACTTTCAGTAAAGACGATTGACAAAGTACTGAGATTAAGCTTGTTATTTAATTTTCTTTTGTTCGCATAAGTGTTTTCTTTTCTGCACATAAAGTTTATCCAAATGTTTTATATATCCAAGCGCTTTCGGCTATTCTATTAGCCATTATCAAGGATTTTTTTTATTTTTAACTGAATATGTATCGTTTTATATATGTGCATCTATAGTGATAGGAATTATCATTTATTTTCCAAACACGGTCACAACACTATGACCGTGTTCATAGTTGCTATGATTGAGTGTTGTCTTTTACTTTTCTTTTTTTTTATTACTAATGCTTCCATTATTTTAACTATTTTTCACAATGTGCTGACCGGGTTTGTAAAATAAAAGCATTCCAATCACTATAAGTACACATATATAAAAATCTACATATTCAGTTAAAAAATCATTGTTGATAATAACTAATAGAACAGCTGAAAGCTGACAAATATAGAGAATATCTTAACAATTTTTACACACTTTATATTCAGAACAGAAAATACTTATAGGTACACAACATGAATTGAATAAAAAGCTTAATCACAGTACCTTGTCAGTCGTCTTTGATGAAACTGGTATAAAAGAGGGGACTGCTACTCAAATACACAACTATATATATATATATATATATATATATATATATATATATATGAGATAACGATATATGAATTTTTATGAGATAACGATATATGAATTTTTATATATCATGAATAAGTTTTCGCGTGACGCATTTTGTCCTTTAGCACTTCTTCGGACTAAATTTGTTACGTTACACATGCACACGAACAAGGGATGATGGGAATTTTAAATCTTTGGATTCTACTTAAAACTACCCAGAATTTGCAGTCCTCAATGAAGAGGCGAAATGCAGTGATACACTTTAAAGGTTTATTTTCAGTAACCTAATTATTTCATATTCAATACGAAATAAATGGCTCATAAAATATTCCAAAATAGAAAAACGGCCCCTCCTGACAAACCCAATGAATCAAAAAAATATATTGTTCTACCGACTAACTCTATCACAAGTAGAATTGAAAAGAAATTGTTACTACTACATCTCATACAATAAAAGACTTAGTCAATACTAAACAAAACAATAAACTAAAAGGAGTAATTTACTCTATTTCCTGTAATAATTGTTCCAAAAATGCATAGGAGAAACTTCAAAGAATCTAAATAAAGGATTATATGAACACAAAAGGGACATCTTGCAAAACAATACATTAAATGAATTAGTTGCTCACCATAACGAGACTGACCAGAATTTTGACATAAAAATGCTTCCGTGATCAAAGGAGAAAATAATTCACTAAGACGAAAATGTTTAGGGAGTGCCTTGATTGCAAAGTCATCTACAGTAAAGTTACGCCTTGGCTCTTATTAAATGTCACAATTCCTAGCAGATGTTTTATTATCACAGGGTAGGGGGGGATATCTAATAACAAAAGTGATGGAAACAAAAAAGAAAAAGAATCTTAATGAAATCGGCTAGATTATAGACCAATAACACGCACAAAACAATATTTGACTTAAAATTCCCAGCATTCCTTTTTCGTGAGCATGTGTAGTCGCACCAACGAAATATATTTAATCCGATGAAGTTCTAAAAGATGAAACGCGTTACACGAAAACTTTTTTCTACTTTTGCCATACATACCCCAATATATATATATATATATATATATATATATATATATATATATATATATATATATATGGATGATAAACATGCTGGATTGATAAACGTTTCCTATTTGTTCTTTTATTTTATTATCCTGTCAGATTCCGATCCAAATTTAATCTGCATTTGATCTTTAACTCTCTCTCTCTCTCTCTCTCTCTCTCTCTCTCTCTCTATATATATATATATATATATATATATATATCAATAGAGACAAAAGGAAAACTTTTATTAGGCAACGCGTTTCGTCCTCTGATATGCCTTGGTAAAGTTAAAGTCTATCAGAGCATATTGTCTTTTTACAGATATATTTTAGTTACATCTGTGTACACACACACACACACACACACACACACACACACACACACACACATATATATATATATATATATATATATATATAAAGCAAAAAAAAACAGAAATTGAAACTTTCTATTGAGATAGGGAATAAAAAGGTTTTTGTTGCTACTGTTTAGACAACATATTTACATGAGAGAGGTTTAGGTAAGTGCTCTCTCACACATTCGTCAGTTATTGTGACATGCCGGCAACAATTCTTGTGGCACGCCTAGCAAGAGAACCCTAAGACGACTTTCCCGAGTGTATTAATGCAGGAAATGTACACAAGGAACTTCAGATAAAATTAGAAATCAATTCAGCAGTTCCATTTTATGAGTTGAGAACAGTTAATCCTCCTCTCTTTCTCTCTCTCTCTCTCTCTCTCTCTCTCTCTCTATCTATCTATCTATCTATCTGTCTGTCTGTCTTTCTGCCTGACTCTCTGTCTGTCTCAACTTCTCTATACTCGGTGCTCTCAAAAGTTTGGAATATTCAACCATGAAAAAAAAAATTGCCCTAACACATAGTTACTATCGTCTCCCTCAAAGTATTTCCCTTAATATTATTTCGCAACGTTTATTATAGTCGTACCTCCTGAAAATAACCTCGTTGACTCTTGTAAAGAATACTGCTCACAAACAGTATCAGCACAGTCCGTGCTACTTTCGATTCACGATTGCTGTTCAAATTCTTAAAAATTTAGATAGCATCACGTATATAAGGTTTACGCATCTTTTACTGCATGGACTTCTACAGTAGTAATTGTTACTGACTTGCATGAAGATACTGGCAACCAGCATTATATGACTGCTTTAACATTAATTTTTCTATGCATACTCATCGATCATCACCATAACTTCATCAGTATCCTGATCGATTATTTTCGTTTTGTAATGATCAATCTTTCAAATGACAAAATTCATTTGAACAAATATTTTAACCCGTTGAACCCAGAGAACTGTCCTCCATCTTCCAGTGTTGATACATCTTTCTTGAAGATCTTTCTTGAAGATCTTTCTTGAACATCTTGGCTAAATTTCACTATTCCGGTTGTTCCTTATAATACAACAAAGGAAAGAACCAAGAAAATTGCTCATATGAGCAAACTTATTCAGCTTGATCGGCCTTCTAAGTCTGTTTTTGGCTTTGTGTTACCGCTATCAGATAATTTCTCGTTTTTGCACAATATTCACATCTAACAGAGAATGAGATCGGCGTCTTGAATCACGTTTATCGTACGGACACAAAAACAAGATACGTGAATTCTATTTTTTTTTTATGAAAATCTATTACCGTATGATTTTAAAAACAGCTGAAGTTGAACTTTGATTGAGACAGGACCACTTAGCGATAAACAATATATTTGAGATAAATTTGGCTATTTTAGAACTGCCTATGTCAAGACCAGTAAATGGCTTGTACAAAGTTGCTCATATGAACAGCCACTTACATGTTAGGTTAATTCTTTTTGTTACGCAAGCTTTATTCTATTTTTATGTTTGGTTTGAAACCAGGATATCTGACCATATGCCGATATATTATTCTGAATATCTTGAATAAATTTCCTTTTCAATAGTGAAGAGCAGAAAATGGCTAGTACAAAGTTGCTCGTATGAACAGCGTTACTCTATGCTTTGTAACTACGAAATCTGACCACTTGCCGATAAACTATACCAGGATAATTCGGATAAATTTCTGTTTCAGAATCGTCAATCTAACAGAAAGAATTTTCCATGTAGAGCAAACGACCAATAAAAAAGTTGATTTATTATATTTCCACCCTAGGTTATGCAATTGTTTTCGGTGAATGGATGCCGGAGTTTCTTCCTGGTAAAGCAGAACTACGGGTTCAATGGGTTAATGCATGTCCACCTGAATGCACTTCTGAAAGAGGAGGAAGGATATTAAAGTCCTCGTCATTCTGATGTTGTTCTTGTATATTAAAAGAAGAAGGTTTTTTATTTTCAGAAAAGACGTATTAGACAGCAGCACTGCTCCATATTATGGTAGTAATTCTCGGTGTACTCCTGAACATGGGACGAGGACATTAATAGACGAAGATATTTAAACTCAAACTACTGCAAATAAGTCTTTGTCTTGGTGAGTAGTGAAAAGGATGTAAGTTGCTCATATCTCCAAAGATATCAGCCCAAAGAAAGCAACAGAAAAAAAGCACAGTGTTCCATTATATAAGTTAAATAGCAGGCTTCACTTGTTGATTGTATAATTATCTCTGCTGGCGTTTGTAACATAGAAGTTACGAACTTGGAAGAAAGAAAACGTCACACTGTTCATTATCACTTGTTAAATTTATATATATATATATCTGTTGGTTTTAGACACACAGAAGCTACTGGCAGGAAAGGAAAAATACAAAAAGTCATTATTATATCTGTTGATAATTAAAGGAATATCTACTTGGGACATAATTTTACTCTATTGTTCGATATTATACATATTCGAGGTTACGAAGGTTTAACGTGGAGTAATAGTTAACAGTTTAGTTTTCCAGACCAGTACTTTATTTTTATTGGGTGCTCACACTCTTGGCTTCATGTCAGATTAGAATTGGTCGTACATTATTGATCGGCATCCGCACTGAACGTCAATTTAAGTTGGTTTTATTTTTATACAATAAACACGTTTTGTGTTTTTTTCCTCGTGTCATCTGTGATATTGGGTGGGATTTACAAGATGAATCTAGCAAATTCTTCATATACTTTATTAATGACTGACATAAATTCTGCTTGCAGTGAAAAATATATGAAAGATTAATCACAATTGTTATTTAACACCCGATAGTTTTAGCGTTGAATGTTTGAACCGAGAATAAATTCTGACGTTATCATGTTTGATATCACTAAAAAACATATTTTTATTTAGACTAACTTTGAAATGCCAACGCACTTCTTTTGTAGCATTTGTCTATATTTCTGAGATGAGGTATTATGTACACTATTTACATTGTTTGGACTATTGTCCTCACCTTTGCTACCTTATTTATCACAAAGTTTCAGCTGTTGTTGGAATGAACCCTTTATTTCGTTCGCTGGGGTAGACGGATGTATGTTATCTCCTTTCCAAGTTCTCCACTGGCTTATCCAGGTATTGAACTCACACTCTTTGGTTCCTGTCAGTGGATCCAACTAACGCCTTTATCCGCTGTGCCATGTGTCCTTGAGGACATCTGAGTATGAATTTCTGGGAATTATAAACCTAATGTGTTCACAATAATTTTTACCTAGTGTTCATATTGCAATTTTCGTTGTTATTATTGCTTTTCTCTAGCACTCCTTCTTACTGGTTCCCATATTGTAATCATTTCTATGCTTGGTTCTTTTGTAGCGTTTGGGCAAGTGTTGAATTTATGCCATATTTTTGTCTAATTTACTGTAAATTTGCCAGTGACTATGGTCAATCATCTCTATGCTACTGTTTGTATTCAAATCGTCATATATATATACGTGTGTGCGTGCGTGTATATATATATATATATATATATATATATATATATATATATATATATATATATATATATAAAGTTTCTTGCATGGTGGAAATTGTATTATTATAAGTCGTTAAGATCCAAGAGAACGTAACTTTGTTTGCCCCATAGCTACAGAGGGAATATTTTGTTGTGTTAAACTCTATTAAAAGAACATTTCATGGATACCAGGTTTGATATCATCAGAATTTATTTTCGGTATCATCTGTCATACAGGATTTTTAAGACTATGACTGCATTTGAACACGGCATGCATGCTTTCGGCTTTCCTCATTTCCTGCACACTGATATTACCCGGGTTTCACTACTTCCCACCCTCTCCATTACCTATTAGCTATTTTCTGCAATGATAAAAGGAAATATTTTTGGTGATAAGAGAAAATTTAACCGAATAACTGCGGAATAAATTCCCGTCATCCGCAGTTGGGACATAGAACTGCAGTGATGAAAACTTCCGTCATTTTCAAACATTTTTAAACATAAAATTTGAGTAAGTCCCCATAGCCAATGTGTATATTGTGCATTGAAAATCAAAAAGTAAGTAATTATCAGTGTTCAGGAATCAATGCAAATATTACTGACATAATAGTGATATATATATATATATATATATATATATATATATATATATATATATAAATGTATATTTTTCTTATGTAATATGTAACTTTTTGTTATTTTATTCACTGAGGAATTCTTAATTGTCATCACATGTTGAAAAAAATACTGTAGTATGTATTTTTTCAATGCCGGTAAGGGTCAGAAAATTTTAGCAGTATTCCCCGGCTGATTTGGACGATTATTCTCATAATCAGCTTCGACAACTCTCGGGAGTTGTCGTAAGTGTACGCATGCGCGGCGCCGCGTTTGCGCACGTTGCTTTTTTTCATTGCTCACGATGCTATCTTGATGCAGCAGAAAATAAAGTTTTATTGTCTGGATTATGGAATAAAGACCGCGCCTTTTTTTCAGTGGCTCTGTTGTATATGCATACAAGCTTTGTTACACTAATTCTTGTTTTTTGTCACTAACATTCAACTAATGTATTCTCCATACAGATATCTTTATGTATTATTTCAACCGTATTATTCGCGCGACAGATTTTATATGAATTATTTAGACTAATTATTTTAGTTGTTTATATGGAAATTCTGACAAATATCTCTACTGTGAAATATTTTTTATTTTTATTTAAATTTAAAAAAAATACTCTTTGATGGCATATAAAAACCACCATTCCTCACAAAATGGCTAAAAAATATTCTCTAGGTCTTATATATGAAGTTGAGTTATCTAGTAGGTTAAGTTTTACCCGGATGCCGTAAGCTGCCAATACTTGTACGTAACCTTATTCCATAGGACAGTAACATGTCAACAGTGAGGATTATATGCGAAGTTGAGGCATCTGACAGGCTAATATTTACTTAGATGCTGTTGTCTTCTACTACTTGTATTGAGTCTAACTCCAGTAATACTAGATGTAACTAGTGGTAGGGTTTTATATGTCATCAAATCCTGTCTGGACTTGTAGCTAGTGAAAAAAATGTGTTTGCAAATTTGCTTATATGAAAAATATTTTTAAAACCTATTTTTCTTTTTCCAGTGATGACTACCTGAATGAATGCGAGAAGGCCTTGAATGGCGTCGAGTTCAGTGAGTTGAACAATTTCAAAGAGACGCTAGACGAAAAAATATAACTTTAACCAATCACCGACCGATTGAACAATCAATCACTCTCAACAAATCGATTGTCTTATTAGTTTCCGATTCGCAGCGCGAGTCATCAAACGGGAAGAAAAACAAAAACAAAACACAAATTTCATCCAAAAGTGAAACTAACAATTTTAAATACTTCTTTTTTCTTTTTTTTAAAGCAATATCAATAGATAATAAAAAAAGAAAAGAAAATATACCGACAATCACATCAGAGATTTTATATTAACTATTTTCTACAGTAAGAAAATACCTTTATAGTCACATATATTACCGTTTCGTCAACACGTGACGAGTATCATTATTGGATACCATCTTGCACTGTTAACAACTTTCTATGATGAAGTAGACTAAAGTTAAATAGTTACAATTATCACCCATATGAAAAAAAAAAAGAAAAAAGAATTAAACACAGTCTAAGGGGTCCACAGATTACTAAACATTAATTCAAATTCTTTGGATATCGAAACAGTTCCATTGGTTCTTCAGTTCCATCGTTAAAATTTGTTATGCATTTAAGAACATGTCTTCAATTTTCAGTTATTACCACAAAGGTGCAATTACGGGGATAGATTACAGGACTTAAGCGAAAGTTTAAATCAAACATGGAGTTTATGTCTTCACTACTATATTGCGTTTATCGACGGCGACAATTTAAAAACTTATAGAACTCGTAATTTGTATTACTTTAAACGTTATTTTTAGTGGATACCAGTATCTGAATGAACACTTCGTTTATTTAAACACAATTTATTTCGTCTAACGGCCTTCGCACTCGAGAAAACTTAATAAAAGAAAATGTGTCTTCCGGCATTGTTTAAATAAACTGAGCGTTTATCCATTAAAAATAATGTTTTAAATAATAAAAATATATCGGATTAAAAAATAAAATCCATTAATTCTTTAGAAAGAATCCGTAATATAAAGAAATCTTTAGACCTTGGAAGAACGACACTTCATATTCTTCACAAACTACCAGACGTTAACTTCATCATATGACGACCTCAACAACTATACTTTTATTTTTTGATTTGCTAAACTTTCTGTTTATTGATTTGTTGAAAATTATTATTTTTTTTTTTGTAATTATTTTTTCTTTTCTGGACGCGATAATTCATTATCTTATTTAAAAAAAAAAAAACAAAGGAAAATTACGTCGAAGTAGAAATTAGAACGCTAAAACGTACGCATGCGCATTAATGCGCTTAAACCAAAACGCCCATGCATCCAAATATATGCGTGTTCTCTAATCTCGCTTTCATCACAGAAATCATCACTTTTACGGACTTTAAATCATTACCAACACATTAACATTTACACTTTGAAAACATGTTATCATCTTGATCTTCAACGTCATCTGTACCGATTTGCAACTCTTGGTGTAGATACCCTTTTATAGCCTTTTTGTTTTAAATGAATAAAATCGTTACAATTTTGTACAAATGTCATTATTTTGTTTGGTTATATTTAAATAGAATGCCACTTTTTATTCTATTTCCGACTCTATCTATCTATCTATCTATCTATCTATCTATCTATCTATCTATCTATCTATCTATCTATCTATCTATCGTGTGCGATGGGTAAATTATCGTCATTTTTTATTTTTAATTTTGCACATGCGCGTTCTTACTTTTTGATTTTGCTGATTGCAAAGTATAGTAGGGTCAGTTGGGCATCATCTGTGAGAAAAAGAGCATCATAACGCAATTCACTCTACCAGAAATTTGGAAAAGGCATGCTGTACTGGTTGACACTCGCACCGGAAGCTCCAATACGAACATTTCAGAGGGTTTGGGTATCAATCTGAGGACAGTGCAGAGGATTCGAAAAGAGTCTAATGGTGATTACAGAGGTACGGCAACTCAGAAAACTCGCTCTGATCGTTCTGATAAAAAGGACTCCCGAATTTGTTGGTGAGGGCCCCAGACTCAACAAGTAGGCCCATATCAAATACCTTGAGGAGGTAGTGCTTCCCTGGGTAAAGAGGGTGGCTGCTGGTAGACCCTATGTCTGGCAACAGGACTCTGCACTATGCCACACAAGCAGGAGAACTCATGGCTGTCAGGCAATTATCTGCGACCACATAAACCCTTACATCTGGCTACTTAATTCCTCAGATTACACCCTCTTGATTATTATTATTATGTGTGGGCGTAGTTGAGCGAGAGACCAACAAAACTCCTTGTAATACCAAAGATGAACTGAAGGCAAAGATTATGGCAGTATTCACCAACTTAAACAAGGAAGCCGTCCAGAAGAGTTACAGGAGATTCTGAAGTCGTCTGGAGGGCGTAACTGAAGTCAATGGTGATTTTATTTTAAAATTTTACTGTTTAGTATTTCAAGATATTTTTTTGCAATTTTGGTCAATATATCTGTTATCTTGGTTCATCAGGGAGTTTCGGGTCTTTCAACATCATACACCCCATCACCAAGTCGACCCAATCAGGGGAGATCAATCACTGATGCTCCCTCTCAATCATACGCTAACAGCTACTCAGGCCTTTTAATGAATTAGACGAAGAAAGACCACGTTTTCCGCACACCCGATTGGATGTTTGTAACAACCAATCCGCTGCGCGAACTATCTTTTAAATGGCCCACGGTGGGGACTGGCTTCTTTTATTTTTTTTCGGTGGATAGCAGATTCAATGGATAACCGAGGCGGTAATCTTAATGTTCCTAAGTTTAACCCTTTTCCCTAAGTATTGTATAATGTCTTACACTAAATATTTGCCGTTTTTTATTTTATTTGTGCTTTTTTTTTTGAGGGAGTGAAACTTAAATTCAACCCTACTATCACATTTGTTATCATTTAGCCTGATTCTTAACATTATTATTACAAGTCAGTTAACTTTAAATGGATGTATTCGCAAAATGAAAATAATTTTCCATAAACATGCTGTATATTTTATTATAGGCAGTCCTATAGACGCAACCCATTTAATAAAGAGGAACACTTTAATAATGACAAAGCTAGGAAGATATTGAACAATTTATGTTCAAATTCTCTCGGGAAAGCAGAAAAATCGTCGGAGGTTTGAAACGATATACGGTAGGTCATCTTAGTCTGGCATAAACCAAAAGCCACTACTTTGATAATTTAGATAACAATTAGGGTATTAGATTAAAAAAATACTCACTTGGTCTGTGACATGAATTTTCTACTTATCACACTACAGTAGGTACTCGCGTACCTACACACACGCACACATACACACACACACACACATATATATATGTAATAAAACACTTTTTCTGATCAAAGTTAGAAAACGGTTATATAAAAAAGTGCTTAATACAGAACGTAAAAAAAGAAGAAAAAGCGAATGTGCAGAGGTGTTAGATATCAAAATCAAGGAAAACTAACCACTTATGCTACCATGGTTTCCTCCGGTAAGGTTTCTTTAGGCAGAAGAGTTTAATTATATATATATATATATATATATATATATATATATATATATATATATATAAAGATATTTTTATGTTTATACATTCTTTTTATAGATACAAATATTTAAGTAAATGCTCTGTTTTATAATAAACAGTATTAATAACATTTACCGGCCTGAATGCCCGAGAAATTTTCATAGAAAATATTCGTCCTCCGACAGGAATCAAACCTGTATCCTAGGGAAGAGGCAATTCTGAATTCAAAACTACTAAGATGTCAACGGGGAACTACCTCACTGTCTCTTCGAAGTAAGTCATTGCAATTCACAGATAAGAAAAAAAATGAATATTGTTGAGAGCTATGGTCTGCAGCCTGAAGAGACATCGCATTAAAAAATATGCACCAAAATATCTTAATAATTATTAATAATTGCTGTGTGTTTGTTAACTATAGTCTTACAAACTGTTTTGTGTCGATCTTTCTAATTTGGTATTCAAACCTAATGAACCCAGATGAAGGTTTGAATATCAACATTTTTGTTTTCTTTGAGGAATGGGTGCAGGCTCTATCATTTTTCATTTATGTGCATTTATCTTTAACATTAACAATTACTGCTTGTAACCGTGCGATGTAAGACTATAATTTCTCTTATTGCTAATATCCGAAAAAGAAAATGCGCGCTTTGTTAGACTAGAACGTTATCTACGAAAAAAACACTATTAAATATTTACTAATGTTACTATAGAACAAAATCAAATGTCAGACAGTGAGGATTGAACACACGACAGTATTATTAGTATCTGATCAGCTCCATTTACTCCAGTTAAATACAAACACAAATCTTGTATGTATAAAATTGGGAAGAATTTGGTTGTGTGTTCACAATATTAATGTACAGCTCTCAAGTTCGGTATACAAACTTACTGCGAGGAAAGGTTTTGACATAAAATTCTTTTGCTCTTCACGGGGAAAGTGAGCTTTATTTTTTCCTGTTACATGGAAATATGTTTTATCTGGACAGTTACCATTTACAATCATTTAAAATGTAATTCCACCTAAATTTTCCTCAAATATATATTTTCTACTTTTCATAATAGTTTTCATGGAAATCTTGAAGAAACAAATTGTATCTATTAGGTTGAGTCATAAGTAATTTTATGTATTTGGGAAAACAGGTTGCATACAACAATGTACGATGCAAAAAGGATAAATCTTTAGAACTACCTCAAGAGCTGAGCACCATGGAAGAAAGATAGGATTTAATTTATGTAAGCCATATTTTAAATAACGGTATGTTATGAATTTAAACATTATTTAATTTTTTTTTTGTAATATTTTCATAGACATGTATGTTGGCTTTTCAGTTAACCTCATGAATATTTATGAGCATCTGTTAAATTTCAAAAAAATTTGTAAAACTAAAAACAATTTTACTTTGGTTTATAAGTACTTACTGCAAAATAAAATCCTTGCATTTGCCTTGATAAAAGTCTATCAGAGGACGAAACGCATCGGCTAAGTTTTCCTTTTGATTTTATTCATATTATATATATATATATATATATATATATATATATATATATATATATATATATATATATATATATATATATATATAATCATAAAGAAACAGTTTATACGAAGAATTAAATAGCAATGTTAATGTAATTGATGGCGAAATCAATTCGCTAACAAGACTTAATGAGACATTAACTTACTATCAATTCATTGAATAATAAGATCCTTATATTCGACTTATTGTCAGATCGAAGACATGCCAAGTACTTCCGATAGTTTCAAATTGTCATCTTCAAGACGCAATTTTCTCATACACAAGCAAATACTAAGACAAAATATGTGTAGACTGAAAGATGTTTTTTTTTTTTTAAATTATGCTATTTATTGACAGTTAAATGAATGTTTTAGAGCGTGCGATACCACGGCGCTAGACTTCTTGTTTAAATCGATCAAAATGTGTGTGTGTGTGTGTGTGTGTGTGTGCGCATGTAAATGATTTTTAAGCAATTAATGAATTTCTTTAAGTTATTATTTCTTATATCATAAATATTTACCTTCGGTGAGTAATACTTGATTGAGTTAAACATCCCTAATATTTTTGATCTGTTGACATAGATTCACTGCTTAAAATAACAGTGTTTATAATAATAAGAAATACATTCACACGAACACACACACACACACATACAATATATATATTAAACTAAGTAAAAAAGCTAAGTAAAAAAAAAACGGTACCTTGAAATTCTGTTATAAAAAAAAAAAATAATAATCCCTTACTATAAAAGTAATTTACATTAACCAGAAAAAAAAGGCTTAGACAGAAGCGTCTATCTTTTTAAATTTGGATTTTTAATGTAACTATAACAACAAAAATATTTCGATTTCATTTTTGCCTTGAAAAAGTCGGAAGACGAAACGCGTCGGCAAAATGTAAGATTTTTTTCCAATTGTTATATATATATATATATATATATATATATATGTATGTATTGAGCTCTGTAGATTTTATCCTTCTTAGGTTTACCCATACGGATTACCTAGTTTTTCATAAACTATATATATATATATATATATATATATATATATTTCAAGTAAGAATGTCTTAAGCTGAAGAGCAAGTTTTCCTGTAAAAATGACACAAGAAGAAAATAAGAAAGAAACTCTTAGTCGATATAAGAAATATTTATTGCTCAAATCGTTCAATCTGAGACTATGAAGTGACACGGTCTTCTACCGCAAATGCTTTGTGGGTTTGGTTTTGAACTTCAGGTAGTCCATCAGCCAGGTAAGTAAAAAATAGCCGAAGAGGTTTATATATATATATATATATATATATATATATATATATATATATATATATATGTAGAAAATCTTGTTTAATAATTTACCCAGTGCCGTCAGATGATAATTGTTTGTTTTAGTCCCTTTTTTTAGTTTTCACTTCGTTCTTTTTAGGAAAATTACCTCTTAGCCATTCAAATAATATCGAAATAGATTTTTTTAAAGTTTTACATACTTTCCCTTATTTCATTTAAAGAATTGGGTTATTTTTAAAAAAAAATAGATAGAAAAAAAAAACGCAAATTAAAAATAAATGTCTTTTTTTTGTTAGTAATTCTGGGAGATTATATAAAATGCTAAAATTATTTGTCATGAAAAAAGAAAA